ACCAGCTCAGAAGATTCCCATGGACGCGAGTCAGTACTATTATATTTCTTGACTCTATTTTGGTATTTCGAGTAGCTGTTTATTCATCTTTGCCCAATAGATGGTGGCTCGGATTGAGCTTTAGATGATTGAATTGTTGTTTAATAAGATTTGGCTTCCATTGGATGTAGGATTTACCAGTTAACAAACACTGTGATTTATATTTAGTTTTATTATTTGGTGTTTTGTCTGTTACATTGGATTTCTATACTTGATTGTTAAATCTTGAAATTATATGAAGTGAAACTAACCTCGTCTTTTACTGATTTAGCTCAAAGGTTGGTTATAGTATTTTTGTCCCTTTTTAGTTTTTTCTGAAGAATTTGTTTGACTCTTCTGAAGATATGGAAAGATTGTAAAGAATAATTTCGATGATATTTTTCCAATTGCATGAGATTATTTTTCTTATAGTTGATCGTGTGATCATCACACAATATTTCCTTTTAAAGTTATTTATAACCCTATAATTAGGGTATCTACTTTGTAATAAAAATACAAATTTATTATATCCAATTTATATTATTCTAACATGGTATCAAAGCGGGTTTAATTTCATTTTGTAAGCTTTTGTAGCTCGTCCGGTCAAGTTTCCTTGTTTTGATTAAATATCCACATCTAGCCCTCGATTCTCATTTTTTTTGAAACAGGTTTTTCTTTCTTTCTTTTCAACCATATATCGTTCAATAAAATAATATTACATGAAATCTAAAGAATTTTCCTTCATATTTAGCTACACATTCTCCGTCAATATACTCTTCTAAAATACATTCCACACCGAAAATGGGACTCAAACAGACCCCTAGTCAAATTCTTTTTCTTTATTTTGTCCAGCTAAGTCTTTTTTGTTCTTGATTTAATTTGAATTTAGACTTCAGATTAATTCAAATCCTATTAGAGTTGGCTATTCTTGTTGCTTCCTTCTTGGAGAGAGTTAGTTTTTGAGAAAATTGAGAATTATCGTGTTATATTTTCATCGAAATTATTCCCATCACGTCTGTTGTTTTAGCCTCCTCATGCACCAGGGTTCGTGTTTCATCAGTATTTTCTTCATCTATAAGTGTAGTACAAATACTACCCATAAATTTTCGGAGTGCTACTATTAAACATGATCTATCTTTGCCTATCTAGTTATTAAAACCGTTTGAAGTTCTTGTTTTGACCTTGTTCATTATACTTGTGGGTTTCTCCTTCAAGTCTTGGTGATGATTTACTTAGATTGGTGGATGGTGATTTTTCTTTCGTACCAACTTCGAGTCTTTGCTTGGCTTGCAAGCAATTTGAAGTATCTTTTGATCCTAGGAAGAGGAAGATCAAATTTGATCAATTTAATTTCAAACTCAATTTGATTGTCGCTACATTATATTGAGTTTGAGGGAGGTTGTTGAAGACATGGAAAGATTGTAAAGACTAATTTTGATGATATTTTTCCAATTGTGTGAGATTATTTTCCTTAATAGTTGATTGTGTTACATAATATTTCATTTTAAAGTTATTTATGACCCTATCTACTTTGTAATAAAAATACAAGCTTATTATATACAATTTATAATATTCTAACATAGTATCAAAGCGGGTGTAAGTTCATTTTGGGTTAAACTTGTGAGCTTTTGTTCTCCAGCGAGCAACCTCATGCCCTTGTCCGGTCAAGTCCTCTTGTTTTGATTAAATATCTACGTCTAGTCAAAATCTTTTTCTTCATTTGTCCATATTCTGTCCAGCCAAGTCTTTTTTGTTCTTGATTTAATCTGAATTTGGACTTCAGATTAATTCAAATCTAGTTAAATGTTGTCTATTCTTGTTATTTCCTTCTTGGAGAGAGTTAGTTTTTGAGAAAATTGAGAATTATCATGTTATTTTTTCATCGAACTTATTCCCATCACATCTTTTGTTTTAGCCTCCTCATGCGCCAGGTTCCTGTTTTATTAGTATTTCCTTCATCTATAAGGTAGTACTGATACTACCTATGAATTTTCGGAGTGCTACCATTAAACATGATCTATCTTTGCCTATCTGGTTATTAAAACCATTCGAGGTTCTTGTTTTGACCTTGTTCTTTATATTTGTGGATTTCTCCTACAAGTCTTGGCAATGGTTTGATTAGAATGGTGGATGGTGATTTTTCTTTTGTACCAACTTTGAGCCTTTGTCTGGCTTGCAAGCAATTTGAAGTATCCTTGATCCTAGGAAGAGGAAGATTGGATTTGATCAATTTAATTTCAAACTCAATTTGATTGTCGCTACCTCATATTGAGTTTGAAGGATGATGATGAAGATATTGAAAGATTTTAAAGAATAATTTCGATGATATTTTTCCAATAATGTGGGATTATTTTCCTTAATAGTTGACTATGTGATTATCCCACAATGTTTCCTTTTAGAGTTATTTATAACCTATAAATGTGGTATCTACTTTGTAATAGAAACACAAGTTTATTATATACAGTTTATAATATTCTAACATCTTCAATGCGTTTATGTTCAACTTTCACATAATAATTCTCGTGTGTTCGTGTGTTCTGATCAAGAGTACTTAAGATTGTGATCATAGTTGGCTGGAACAGGCATTTGTGGCATTTCACTCTGTGATACAATTTGTATTTTTCTTTGGTATTTTTCTGTTCATTCTTAAATGTTTGAATAACTAATGGCTAATCAACCGACAACCATGAAGTAATAGAAGCTGAATCTATTTTATATTTTATTTTTCTAAATCTAGTCATCAAACACCAGGAAGAGAGAGAGAGAGAGAGAGAGAGAGAGAGAGAATACTCTCAACATTTTACTTGTTTAGATAATTTGTTATTTGCATCTGTTCTCGAAAAATTAGAAGATGGTCTCTTTTTCATTATTTCAAACATCAGCAAACATTTTATTTACATGCATTTTGTTTCTTGGTTCGCAGTGGCTACAAATGTTCCAATTAGACTGCTGGACGAGAATAAAGTTAGAGCATATCATGAAAATCAGAGACGAGAGATGCAAGAGATTCTGGAACAATATGTTCAGATTTGTCACCGGGCAGGGGTATTTTCTATCTGTCTTTCAAATGATACTGTTGTTTTTAAACTTCATAACATAATTGTGGAAATTTCTTCTTCTAGACCTTGGGATGTTTAAGCATGATGACCATCTATTAGACATTTCAAATTTAATGTACCTAACAGATGCAAACCACTGTATTAAGTATGTCGTTTTCGTTCCTTTTACGAAGGTTTCTTTTGGAACAACCATGCAATACATATGCTAAAGCTTATTTCTTGTAACATGGTTTACTTCTTATCGTAGAATCAGGCAGAGACACTGCCCAAAGAGGTGGACTCTATTGAGAAGGGCATTGTGCAACTCCTATCTCAGCGTCGTATTAAGTGGCTTGTCATGGGAACGGGATCTTGTAAATCTGATTCAAGGTATAATGCTGTAAAAACTTTTACCAGTCCTCATTATCATTTTACTAGATAATTTAAAATGATAAATGCTGAAAGTTAGGCAATTCGACCCTAACAACACCTAGAGGAGGGCGAATATGTGTAGTATGCGAAATTAAAATCTTATTAACTAACTAGCAACAAATCACTAATTAATTATCTCTAGATGGTTAATCATGCAGTCAATTTAATCTTAAATTTAAATACCACATATCATACATTCATAATATAAAGCAACAAACGAATAACGGTATGATCACGGAGAAACCCAACTGGGAAAAATCTCCAGGCACTTTGCCAGTCAATCCACTACCAAACTAGATGACCCGTACTATCTGATCACCCGACTGCACTCCTTATAGCTTTTTCTGGATCCCGTGCTCTCCTGCATCAATTTTCAGTCGTTGTTGCCAAAGTTTTCCATGGAATTTGCTGCCCTACAGCACTCCAAGCCTTGTGAATTCGTTTATCTCCCGTGGATCACGAAGAACGACCCGTTCTTCACCGACTGGAACTCCAGTCACACTTCCTCGATCTTCAGAACTCTGATAAGATATAGAGGAACAATAGTTTGGCATTTGGATTATGGAACTGATGTTTTTCTCTCCAAAACAAACTCACGAGATGAAGGTTGAAGGAAGGAATCGAATCAATTTCTCACAGATGT